GGGGGGGGGTTAAGATAAGTAGAGCCAAGTTCTACTTAATAAAAAAAATGAAAATAAATCGTTAGTGATATTTGAACGAATGTTAACATTCATTTTGAAACTGTAATACAATCTTTATTTCCTATTCTTAGCTTTTTCACACTTTCATGCTCTAAAACCTAGAGCTCTGATAGACTTTAACACTTCCCAATTATATCAAATTAAAAACAAAATGTTTTCAGAAAAATGTGCCTGTTTAAAACGAAAAGCAGTAATAAGAAACACTTAATATATAATAAAAAAATAACTGAGTAAAAAAAAAACATTAATAAATATAAAAAGCTATAGGGCCTACCTAGCTGTATCAATCTAAGGGTTCAAGCCAAAACTTTTTGTCAGCACAAACTTGCTTTACATTGTCACACTACCTCAAAAGTAAATATGTACTATTGTTTATTTATTAGCTCTTATATGCCTAACCATGTAAACGTATTGTTAACACGTGAGGCCGCATAACACAACATTTGAGTTTGGGTATCAATGCGCAGCCTGAAAGTTACTGTTCAAAACAGCGTTGTGAACTTGTGAGTGTCGCTTAGCAACCGGCTCTGACAGCAATAGCATTTTTCAACGTTTCTGAATGATAGGCCTACGTGAAACACTGTACACAACTGAGTATTTATGTCGTGTTGTTAAACTACTTAAATCAGATTCAGATAGAAAGCTTCTAAATCGTGACTGCAGATTATATTTTATAAAAGCTAAACGTGGGTGTTGTCGTGCCAACGCCTCGGTGAATTAATGTAACAATCACGGCGTCGAGTTACGCAACGCGACGTGAATCCTCTGGACTTCACCATCGTTGCGTAGAAAGCGTACAACTCAGGCTCATCATATTTTTGCGCTCTCGTGTTTCGTCAGTGATGCACTATCCCGTGCCTCCCCCCACACGAGGCATGTCTCCTCCACACCAGAGCGCTACTCCTGCCGCTTCCTCGCATGAATTTACCACGCCGTCTCTTCCCAGCTGAAAGGATACCTCTCCGCCGGGTTGGACGCTGTTTGTCCGGCCCATCGACCGTAGCCGCCCCCGGCAGCTGTGCCCTCTGCTCCCGAAGGCAGTCCCCGTCATGACCTCCCCTTTCTGCGATTCTGCCGATATCCGCTAAATGGGCTTGGTGGCTGGGCAGAGGTTTCCACAGCAACTGGCCATCCGCTTCCAGTATTTCCCTAATGAGGACAGCCTTCAGGATTTAACACGAGTCCTCGCTGCGCGTCTCTGATTTTTGGGCTGAATCTCCAGACGCGTCAAAGGTGAGTAAATTAGCAGCGTTTAATTGCGAGAAAATATGATTTATTTCGGGATTTCATCAAGAGTATTTGTTTTGTTGCTGCTCATGTTCCCATATTGATGTTTTACACAGCCTCTCACACTGTCTAGTATTTCATTGTTGCACAGGCCATTCAGTCAGAGCTGCTCGCACATTTGTTCAGTGCCACTCAGCCTGTGCCAGGGCTCCGTTGTTGTTGACGATCTACTACACCCCCCGGACAAATGCGCACTGTGTGTGCAAATGTCCTATTTTGGATTTTCTGACGGGCAAAACACCATGAGGCAGTAAATCGACTGCGAACATAAAATTAAAGCCAACAATCTATCGAAATTCAAAATGGAGCTGTAACAGCACCTGTTTTGATTCATCAGGCCGCATATGCGCTGTATATGAGCCGAAGCCAGCCGCAGCCACAGCAGCATTGTCGCCCTTTACCTCCCTGTTCCCATTCACAAATTCCAGTTTACGTGCCTAATGTGGATCAGTTTGGCAAACAGGGTTAATGTTTTCTTTCTTTTTTGTATTCCCTCACCATAGCAAATACGTTTATCATTGACAGCTGCTACTCCTGTAGGCAGCTACTACCCCACCCCTTGTTTCTTTGAAAGCAGCTTTGCTGACAACTGGTGTTTAATCCCGCGGAAATAGAATTGTAATTGTGTAGCTAATCTATTTACAGTCGGTTTTGGGATTTGGACAAATTCCAGCTAATTTCCATAGTGCAGCAGAATCAGGTTTGCTAAGAAATGTAAGACTTGAATCATGGGAGAGCTCAACATGGGATTTTTAACACTGGACAACCAGATGCTATAATATGCTAGCCTCATTTTAAAAGCACGAGGTAAGCATAGCCTTAAAGAAATAACATCATAATACCTTATTGGATTGAATGAATTTCTCTATTTTTTTTACAAACTGAGATTGTTAAAATAACAACAGTGGGTCAAAAACACATTGTTGGCCTTCACAGGGCAGTAATAAAGAGAAGCTTGTCTGGACTTGTTGGGCTTTGACCAAAGATTATTCTTCATTATAGATTAACCTACTAATGTTTTCTCAATGTTTCCATAAAATGATTCCCAAAGCCTTAAATCTCTTCATATATCTTGCTTTGTCTGGTCAGCTAGTTCGGATATAGTCAATTTACTATCACAAAGACAAAGAAACTGCACACAGAATGTAAGTCTTCAGAATTGAGGAGCTCACTTTTTATTATTTTGATTAAAAAAATGATAAGCAATAAGTATTCAATAGAAATTGTCGCTGTTTATTTGCCCTTTGGTTAACTAGTTGATTCATTGTTTAATTGTTTGCAGCTTTAGATGGTTTGGTCAAACATTCTCTTGTTCCTGTCAGAGCAGTTTAATGTACATTTTTAGGAGGAATAAAGTATAACCCTATTTGTTTATTTGAACGTGCTGTAATTCACAAAGAAAGGCTGGCTGTGGAGTTAATTGATTTGCTAAAAGTGTGCCACCTCTGTAATGAAACATCCATCATGCCCTCTTTCCTACTATTTGTCCTCCTTTATAGAGGCATGCTGTAGCAGCTTCTCCTCATAGCCTGGATAATGTTCAGTCTCCAGTTAAAGATGGACAGAAAACGGAAGTGTGTTTTATCAGCTGAATGCCACAATCCCCCTCTTGTCCTCCTCTTCCTTTTCTTCTTTTGTGCTTCTCCTCTGTGTGTTTTGTCACTGAGGAAGAGGGTAGTTGAGATGGGAGAGCAGGCACATACTTTGCAAACTGAGCGGGTCCAGCAAAACATTGGAGAAAAAATAACAGAGAATATCTGATCAAGGCGTCCACTGTTCTAAAATGGGAAAAATCTTGATAGCTATGTGAATGCATCGGTTTTCTTTAGTCCCCTTTAAAGAAACTGCCCGTTCTCTCTTTTTAGCCCAACCTATTTATAGATTATCTGTGTATTATGTGGACTGCACTATGTCATGTTATTATCATGCAGCATATAGCAGTACAGGACAGTGACGTTAATGTGCACATTTCCGCTTGTTTTGATCTTGAGGAGCCATCATTTTCTCTCTCTCTCTCTCTCTCTCTCTCTCTCTCTCTCTCTCTCTCTCTCTCTCTCGCTGCTCCTCCCCAGGGCAAACTGTAATTTCCCATTTGACTGAAACATTGGCTCCAGCCCCTTCTCTTTCTGCAGCACAGTGGCAACTGTTACCGTCTGTTGTGACTCAGTGAGGTTTGTCATGGCCAAATGTGCTTATGTGCCTGACCAGAAACGTAAAGCACGTGTGCTCAGCTGGAGATCGAGGATTACTAAGTGCTGATTAACCAGACAAATCGTGACTAAACTCCTTTTTGCAAACCTATTCAACATCAAAGGTAGGCTGTATTTAAGCGCAGCACTTTGAAAACATAATTTTCTGCAACAAATTGGTGCGGTTTTATTGTGGAACCAGCAACTTAAGATATTTTACGAGACTACAGTGTGTAGATACCTGGAAGAAAAAGGTGCACCATATTGACTTTAGATCATCAAATCTTTAAAATATGTGTTAATATTTGTTCTTTCTTTATAGCGCAATTACCTGCTAACTGTACACCTTTTGGTAGCTCCTATCCAGACTTATAGTGAAAGTATATGTTCCTGACCTGACTCCAATATTGAAAACAAAATCTGCCGACCTCTGTCTTTACACAAATGCATTGGGTCTGAGCATTCTGAGTTAGACTTATCAAGGAAGTATCCGACAATGTCATTTCAGTCACACATTTCCTTGTTTTGCTAAACAATGGTTCTTGCTGAGCTGTGGTGGAGGCATAGTATAACATAAGAGACTTAAAGTCTAGAGCTGAATTCAAATTGTAAACATATGACCTCATGATGTTGTTAAATAATAAGTCAAAGGACCACCAATGTGATTACAATTCATCCAGATGGGAGCATGAATGTCTGCAAAATATTTCATGGCATATCTCAAATAGTTGGTGAGCTATTTTAGCTTTAGCGGAACTTTAAAACAGATCGAAGTATATGGATTTCAACCTCATCACTTACATTAAAAAACGACATTGTGGACAGGAGGTGAAGGTTGAAATGTCCTTTTTATGGAGAAGCCGGATCTGAATTGGCAACGTGGGTATGTCATTTTCCAAGGTGCCTGCTCTATTGACTTATATTCATTGTAGGCACCTAAACTCAGTTTCTTTACTTCCCCCCCAATCCCTACATTATTCCGTCCATGTACGGACAGTTTTATAGATTTTGTGAGCCTGGGTAAACACTGAGACTGTGAGAGAGACGCAGGCAAGTGATAAATGCACTGCGGAAATTGAAGTGCTCTTGAACTCAATCATGGTCCTGAGGTAAATACCCCTCAGAGAGCCGCCTTTGAACAAGGCCTTTATTTGCCATGATTCATATCTAATCCTTCAAATCTCCTTTCCCACAACACAACCAGGCACAAGTTTATTTAGGTTTCTTCACACAGTCAGCTTGTATATGCTTTTATTGTTGTTGTTTTTAACACTATTAAACCAGATGTTGCATAACTTCATTTTTAGAAAATGCAGCTCTTAGTGCTTTTAATTAAGATTATAGAAAGCACTTTTAACATACTGATACAGTACAAATAAAGATCCTGTACAGTCGGGAGCAATGCAACAAGATTTCATTTCTTTCTTTTTTTTAAGAAAGATTTTGATTTGTATTCTGGGAAAAAAGGGAAAATAGAGTGTCTTTGTAGCTCGCCCTCCACCTCATCTCCCTCCTTGCTTCCTTCCTCCCATCCCACCCTCCCACTGCTCAGGTGCCTGTTCTTGTTGCACTCTTGAAATTGTAGCAATGTGGTGCAATCTGGCTCCCACACATGCTCCAGTTGGATGGAAAAGCTCAAGGGACTAAAATCTCCCTTTTCCATATTTTTTTCCCCTTCAATCTTCAAAAGACTTCAACATCTTATTTTATACCCATGATACTTTTGTCTCCTTTATATAGCCCCCTTCATTTCACATCATAACGTTGGAAGTAGTGTTAACACTTCTTGCTATTTGGTATCTCTGGTACCATATTAGGAAAAGGCGTGAGGATCAGCTACACTGCTAGCTCTGTTGTTTATATAGCAGCCTGTGAGACTTTCAAGGGCACTCTGGTGTTTGCAGCATCCTGGAGGGAACCAGGGGAAAGTGAATCTCTTTGGACATGGCTTCTGCCATCGCTGCTTTGGGATATGTTTGTAGTGCTGTTTGAGGATCATTACTCCCCTGCATCTGTGTGTGCTTAATCCTGATGATCAGTCAGTTTTCCTAATGAAAGTCAAATCTTCCATAGTACGCTGTGCATGCTGCAGTGCATGCTGCAGTGCATTCAACTGAAGTTTTTAGTAGTACTCTTGATAAAAGTATGGAGCACTCACTCATTGCACTTTTAGAACCACCATACATTTTGTCACTGATATGATTCCCAATCAGCTTATTGAGACAGTTTGTAACCCGCTCTGACCTCATTGAATCACATCAAGCTTCCCCGTATTTCTACAACAATTAAAAAGCCTCACATCAATCGACATTATGACACATCTGTAATGACACATCTCTTTGCCTGTAAAAGGGGTGTATACTTTCATGCTTTAACGTTCAAATAAACTTTATTTTTCTCATACTGCCTGTGCTGCTGCAGCACCTCTTTTCACCCTCTGTCTGAAACCAGTGCCCAGTCGGCTCTGATTGGTAAGCGCTGTTGCGATTGGTCAATTGCTTAGAGATATCCCTCCCCTTAGTCCATCACCTACAATGTTGTTAAGCGCTAGCCAATAGAAGTGCACGTGTGATGCGTAGTGATGTCACTATGTTGCAGAAGTAAACAAAGAAGTCAAATGGATGTGTTTCAGGCAGGGGAGAGAACTTTTGCAGACCATTTGCATGAACAAAAAGCACAAAACCCATCATCTTCATTTGACATTCTTATGACCTGGACCGCTAAATATATCTGTTGCATAAGTGCCTTCATTATTCTTTAAAGACTGTGAGCACTCCTGTCCGTCAATCCTGAGTATGAACTGGTAGATGTTCGAGGCAAAAGCAAAGTCCATTACTGATATCCGGAGAACTTGGATAAATCTGGTTCTTCACACAATTCGCACAGTCCTATTCACCCCTTTCTGCATAGACCTATCTCTCTGTGACTCAGTGTTGCACCATGGGATACTTTAACCCCCCAGCGCGCCAGATTACAGGCTGGCAGGAGTTGAATCAAAGCTTGCATGACCGTACGTGTGTGCTTCAAATCACTCTCACACAACTGGGCAGCTTACGCGCCCACACATCTCCACAGTGAGATCCATCCCCATCTTTGAGATTTCTCATACCTGTGTAATTATGTTATGCAAGCAAATTACACTTAGAAACACCCACTACGCCTCAGCTGTCCATGCAGTATACAACAACCACCTACACGTTCTTTTTACAGCCACAGCCGGTTCCTTCCTCCTTGTCTGTTAATAACCCTCTGTCCTGTCTGTCAGACTCTCACAACTGTGCTGCAAACCCTCACACGGATGCATGCATGTGTTGGGGGGGGGAAAAAGGATGTGAGATGCAACATTGCTTGAGTGTTAGTGTGCGATTGAGCCTCGTCTCCCAGAGAGAAAGGAACAGCTGCTCACATAGACACTGGTGCAAACACTGTCTGGAACTGAGAGCGCCTCTATTCACAAAGGAACGAGGCTGTTTCATGTGGGTATGACTGTCTCCGTTACAGCCGGCCTGAAATAGCCGGTCTCACAGTGAGTCACTCTGCAATGCCTCGAGGATGGACTTGGTGTGTGAACACGGCACTCCAACTTTCTGTGGGTGCACTTGACTGTCTGAGCGCGTTTGTCTTTGTCTGCACTCAGAATGACAGCGCGCTCTTTATCGGCCCATAATTGATGTATTCTGAATCAGGATTGAGAGGAGAAGCAGGGGTGTATAATAACCTGTAGGAGGTGAAACTGTGTCTGTCCTTGTCAACTCACCGGTGTTAGCACTCGGCTTCATTACAGCCCACTTTGTTTGTTTTCCTTGCAGATGCTTATTGATTCAGAGCAGGTTGAATCAGATGGGGATGACCTTGAATGTGTCTTGGCTGTCTCAAGGTGTCCTGTTCTCCCAGTATTTGCATGCTAAACGGTTTTAACTGAACCTGGACTGCCTCCAAGGATACTCTGTGATGAGCATAGATGAATAGCACCCACTGCTGAGAGGAGTTTCTGTTTGAGAAAGGTGGATGAGTAGAAACTGAAACGGGGTCAGTTCCTATTGGTCAGTTTTTTTTTTTTAGTGAACAGCTTTCATTTCCTGTCAGGACATATTTTATTAACTCCTATGCGACTGAACATTATCTTAATAGATGATCCAGCATCAAGCATTTTATAGCAAACTGAAATGTTCTCATAATATTAAACGTATCTTTATCTATAACATTTCCACTTTTTGAAAGTAATAATTTATGGTTTAGTCAAAAAGAAGCTGAAACCAGACAGTGATGGGTGTTTTTCCTTTTTTTTATGGTGAAAGATTCCGTTCTTTAATCAATTAACAATTATGAATAGCCAATGTTATTTCAGTCAATTGAATCATTTGTTAATAGTTTTATTGCTATTTGGTATATTAGGAGAAACAGGGACATCTTTTTTTTCTTTTTTTTGTTATCTCTCTGGACATGCTGCATACTTACTCATCACTGCATGGCTCTGATCCCAGGTCTGCACATGGGGGCGGGCAAAAGCAAGCCCAAGGAGCCGGGCCAGCGCTCCATGAGCCTGGACGGCACCATCGGCTCAGGCTCAGACGGCGGGCACTTCCACCACCTGGGACCCGCCCAGCAGACCCAGACCCCCAACAGGAGCCCCGCCGTAGGTACAGGCAGGCGGGGGCAGCATCAAGGGCAGCACCACCTCGCCCCGACAAACACTCCTGAGCTGGCTCTCTTTGGGGGGGTGGACCACACAGGCACCATCACCTCGCCCCAGAGAGGACCTCTGTCAGGTAGGCACCTCTCTGAGAAAGGGTTAAAGTTCAGTTATACAACAAATGCTACTAAATAATATTCAATTCATGAGCTTTTTGTTTTGGGCGGTCAAAAAATCAGTACCACAGCTATGTTCAATGTTATGTGGTACAGCCCACCACTGGTTAGCTTAGCTTAGCATAAACACTGAAAGCGGGGGGAGCTGTGTGACCCAAGGAAGCCATTGTGCCCAGCCTAGAAAAAGTCACACATACAATCTCCCGTATAATAAGTTTTAGAGGTGCTGGGAAGCAGATTTTCATTGTTCCCAGTCTTTGTGCTAAGCTAAGCTAAGCTAAGGATTTCCTGACTCCAATTTTATATTGAGCGCAGAGCTTTGAGTGAGATATATCTTCCCATCTAATTCACAACAATAAAGTCATTTTAATTCATTTCCCAAAATATTGAAACTATTTTGTTAAATGTGAGTGACACACTAGAGCCAAATTAATCCTGTATGCCAAATGACCATAGATTGCACAAAATAGTCTACTGTAAAGTGATATGACCACAGGAAAAGATTGGACATCAGCTGGTTAACAGACTTAAAAGCTTCTCTTTGACTTTGAAGCCTGTCATCTTGAAATGTAGCAGTAATATGTCTAGATCGACCAGATGGTTAGGTTAATGTTGCTCAGGCTGCTGTTGTATGCGCTGGCCGCCTCCTCCTGTGCATCTAATGAGCCGATCAATGATTGGCTGCAGAGTCCTTGGGTTTAGATCACTGGTTCATTACAAGGAAGCGGGAGAAAGCTCCAAAGGAAAATATATGATGGCTTTGTCCTTCACAGACGATCGGTCACAAGAAGTCTGAACGTCAATATTTCTCATTAAGCCTTGGTAAACAGTTTTAGAAAGATGTGAAAAAATACTGGGATTTAGAGCTATATAAGCAAGGGTTTTATTATTGAAGTTAGATCATGGAAGTGAATAGATCTCAACAGGAAGGACCATTGCCTTTAATACCATTGTACCTTAAATGTGTTTTTGTGTGTTGTTTCTTGCAGGAGGTGTCACTACATTTGTGGCGCTCTATGACTATGAGTCACGGACAGCGTCTGATCTGACCTTTAGGAAAGGTGACAGGCTGCAGATTGTCAACAACACGTAAGAATCAACCGCTTCCGTCCCTTTCTCTAAAGACACAACTTCATCAAAAAATCTAAATGAACTGATTTGTAAACGCACACGTGTTAATGAATGAACACAGTCAGAGCTGGTGACTGTGGAGCGATGCCGACAGCAGAGTCTGAGCCTCTCCATCTGTTGATTAAAACGGAGCAGAACGGCTCTTTACAACTGCAGTCTGCTCCTCCTCAAAACTGTATACACAATCTTTTACGAAACATTATGGAGAGCATGATATAGCAAGATCGCTACACTCATATATTTCCTCCACACAGATAACACCTAAACAACTAAGTGTTTTCTATTGCATGACACCACATGCTGAAGTTTGCATGTGTCAGTCTGATGGGATTAAGACGTTTCTGCATGTGAGAAATTATGTTTGTATTTAAAAGCATGTGGGGCCGTATTACAGAAAGGTCTTAGCTTTTATATCCAATCTTAATAGTTTTTTAACTGTTGTATTTAGTTTTAGGTGATGATTTAGGAAACACCTACCCTTTACGAATGAACAGTTCCTAGATTAATGTCCCTTAAAGGTGGGGTAGGTAAATTTCAGAAACCGGCTCGAGTGCACTAAAATTTGAAAGTACACAGCCAAAAAGAATCCGCCCCTTCCTTCAGACTTCCTTACAGAGCACCTCCTCCGCGAGAGCAGGCTGCAGTAACGTTACATATCAGGCAAAGCTAAACACATCTAGGTTAGCAATACTACACAGCCAAAGCAACTCCGATATTGACTCTGGTTTGACTTCTCCTAGTTTCCACTTTCTTTTTGTTCTTAATTTGCTCCGTTACATTTTTTCTTTTGCGACCAGTAGACGATGTTGAACCTAACTCTGCCATGGTGAAAGTGGCCGCCTGTTGCTGGCGAGTCATTGAAGTACTGCTGCAATGCACGCCCAATGACGGCACGCCCAATGAGGGCACGAGATACATTTATGCGTGCACGAGATGGTAGGCTGACAGACAGGGCGGCAATCCAATCCGTTTAGCCGGCCATTGGTTGTAGTTTTTACAGTATTACGGGTTCCACAGATGACATTTTTTGTCAAAGCACTTAAGATATTCATTGCTATCGGGATGTTAAGAGCATTCCATGGAATATAACAAGAAGTGTATCTCGAGCCGGTTTCTGAAACTTACCTACCCCACCTTTAAGGATTTCTAATGTTATTTAGCATCACACTTTTTAAAATGGTATTGAGAGAAATCCTTACTTAGACTTTCCATTTCAAATCAAGAATATTAGGAAGAAATGTCCTATAATACAGCCCTTGGAAAATAAATGATTACGTGTGTTTTAAATCAGAACAATGTTTGTTTTTTTGTCTGAGCTCTTTCCATAACTTCCTATCATAACACTGAGCTGCTGTTATTTATAATGTGTCTGTATATTTGTCTGCCACTAGATAGTACGGCTATTTTACATAAATAATTCAGTTCTAATATCTACTTTAAAAACAATGCATGGGAGAAATCCTTAAATGCAAATACTGAATAAAAAGTAGCGAGACTTTAAAGTGAATCCCGAATTCTACATATGTGGATGTGATCATTTATGAATAATAGTTGTGGGAATATTTTTGCCTTCCTGTCTCGCAGAATTATTAAAAATGAAATAGAAACTGGAACTGAAAACTTTGAAAGCAGTGCAGCTTGTGAACCCCCCCCCACCGCTGTGTAGTCCCGCAGCACTTCGGGCTCCTGCTATCTGTCAGTCTGCGCTGCTCGCCTTGCTGTGTCTCCTCGCTGGGTTTTGATGTGTCTGCTGTGTCTGTTATCTCTCCCTCTCTCCTTCTCTCTTATGCTTCATGGTTTCTCCTAGGAAAAAGTACAGCTTCAGGTCAGTAACACTTAATGCTTTTAAAAATCTCACGCAACCTTTTGTTCACCGTCCCTTTGCTGCTGAGCGGATTTGTCTGATCAAGCTCGTAGCGTAACTGCAATGAATTAATACATATTAAAAGATGTAGAGACTTGGTGCTCTAACTTTCTTGATACGTCTCTTTTGAAACAGGTAAAGGTTTAAAATGCATACTAAGGGACTACAAGTGGAATAAAAGGTTGCATTTGTTTGTCTTTTTCTCTTAATAGTGTGTTTTCTTCTTCACTCTTTGCTGAAATGTGGGAATCAATTTATGTTTGGGTGTCAGTCAAAACATTTAGAAGTTGTTATTCTTTCACAAGTGATTGTTTTTACTAAGAAAACAATCGGAATCCAATCCTGTGTTGCAGGTACTTTCATATTTAATGGATTTGACGAGTAGCATATTTTCTTATTGGCAACATATCCCATGAATAAGCAAAACCAACAATTGTATTTAGCTTAACCTTCATTGTCGGTCAAACAATTTAAAAACAGTTGAAATTTTCCTCATTATGTTGAAAGTGGGCAGTGTTGTTTACTTTGAGTCAATCCCCCATACAACTCCGTTATGCTGTATATGACCTTTTCTATTCATCGATCATAGCAGGGCCTGGTTTAGTTGTTTGATAAATTGATCCAGAATGTCATTGACAGAATGTCATGTCACTCGCTAGCAACAAATTCTAAGAACCTTTAAATCTGAGTAAATGTTTCATATTGTAGATCAATCATGAAAAGTGTCCACTTTTTGTTTAGGCACCTAAGTATTTGAAGGGAATGCGCACATGCACATTTCAATGTTAATGCTAAGCTGCTTTTTTGTGCAGCCATAAATAAAAACATATAATTGTGTCTTGTTTTTTCAAACTTTCACTTTTTATTGGTTGGAATCAAAAGGCCTCAGGCTGAGATCAGACCGTTTGCAATGTTGGATTTGGTCTTTTGGTGGCATTTGTTGAAAATGAGAAAAAATACATACAGCTTTATTGTTCTTTCTACATCAAATAGTATGTCTCTTAATTGGGAAAGGATTCATAAACCATGAAATGTTGTTGGTGTAAGTTTTCTGTTAATGGTTCTGTTGACGCTCTCTGTCTGTCTCTGTCTTTCTCTCCGTCACAGAGAAGGGGACTGGTGGCTCGCTCGCTCCCTGACGACGGGAGAGAGTGGGTATATCCCGAGCAACTATGTGGCTCCGTCCGACTCCATCCAAGCAGAAGAGTGCGTTATCCTCTCATTGTTTCACTCCTGTTGTTTTTTTCCTTTCAGTGATATAAGATGTGTTTTCTTGGTGCTAAATCCAGCTGTTTTCTCTATCTACTTCTACAACACAAAGATATAGAGAGTATATTTTCCGATTTGTACCACCCAGTACAGCTATATTCAATGTTTCTGCCTGCCTGCTGCAGACGCTCAGCTGCAGCTTCTGTCTGATCTGATTCTCCCTGGCCCACTTTGGCAGGTGGTATTTTGGGAAGATCACTCGGCGCGACTCCGAGAGGCTCCTTTTGAACGTGCAGAACAGACGAGGAACCTTCCTGGTGAGGGAGAGCGAGACCACTAAAGGTGAGAGAGCAGACTCTCTGGAGACAGCAGACAACATCAGGATGATCCAATTAGCCCTTCCTCTGTGTCTGATTATAAATAAATGTTGATTCATGTAACTTGAACATGACATTGTTTTTTTTTTCTTTAAATTCATTAAATAACCGATTCCAGGCTTGATTGCCTAATCCTTGATGGCTCCATCAACAGCTGAAACAGTATTTTTCTGCTGCTTGACTAATTGGTTAGTCTATGAGCAGAAAATGAATGCACAATCTTTTTTTTAAATCATTTTAAGTCGTATTTTTAAAACAAAAATGACCCAATTTCACTAGTTCAATTCTCTCATGTTAATATTTGCTGGTATTTCTTACCTTATGACATTTCATACACTAAAACATACATGGATTGATTGTGATAATAATAGGGATGTTAATATGCAAATGTCCCCTCTGTGGGACCAATAAAGGTATTCTGATAAATAGTAAAGATAACTGATTATACAACATTAAGACATATGGTCAGTTATCATTAGAAGAGGCGGAGAATCACAGCATTATATACAAATCTTTTTTAAAAAAAAGGATATTCTTCCAAATGAGCATGGATTTAAATCTTTATAACAGACCGATCCTTTGGGTTCTTTTTCCTGGCAATTCCTTCATGTAAGAAAATGTATCCCTTTTTAAGAAAAAAAATCCTCACTATAAAACATGTTTCATAAAACCTGAGCTTTTTATTTTTAAAATGTGTGAATCCTGATGACAGATTCTGTTTCTCCTGGAGAAAACTCCACGCAGCCGAGAAGTAGATCTTCAGGGACTCAATTTAAAGACACAACCTCGTAATTAAGTCATCTGTTAACTTTCACAGAGGCCTATGGCATGTTTTTTGTGTTTTCTGGAGTTTTGCATCTTTCCGAAAAACTCTGCATTCAGATCTTGTCCTTGTGACGTCAGTGGGCTCTATAGGGGGTTGTTTAGAGGAAGTGTGGGGGAAAAAAAGAGTGGAGTGGATGGGCCTTGTGAATGGATAGGGGTGAATCACTCTGCCAGAACTAGGTCAGCCTCGGAGGGTGCTGGATTTCCCCCTGGCCATAATTTTCTATTCCACACACACACACACACACACACACACACACACACACACACACACACACACACACACGTTACCGGTTACGTTACGTTACGTTACGTTAACGTTACGTTACGTACGTTACGTACGTTACGTTACGTACGTACGTACGTACGTTACGTAACGTACGTTACGTACTACGTACACACACACACACACACACACACACACACACACACACACACACACACACACACACACACACACACACACACACACACACACACACACACACACACGCTGAGAGAGGGGAGGAGAGGCATGAAGAGGGGGGAGACTTGCAGGAAAGGGGAATAGTAGGAGTGGCTCTGGCAGGAGGTGTGTTGGCCCCTGGGTGTGTTCTGTATTAGATGTCACATGTGAAGCGTATAGAGTGAAAGGGGCATGTTGAAAGTGTAAATCATGTCAGACTAATAGTGATGCATCTGATTATTTGTAAGGCTCAGGCAAAAAGATGCCTTAAATATGTGAAGTGAAAATATCATGACTGCCTTTGTTAGTGGTTGTTTCCCCTTTTTATGACATGAGTAAAATATGTATTTAAAATTGGTTTAATTCTAAATGTGTTCTGTTCATGCCTTTTTGATTCTGCAAAGCACATCTAATAATTTAGTTCAAGCTGTATCTTGGTCTTTGGTTTATTACAAACGATCATGTGTTAGAAAAGGTTGGTTTATAGCATGAAAGTTCAAAAGAGGTCAATGGTTTATCTGCTGGAACAGTACTGTGATGATCAGATACTTTGTTCACTTCTTCTGACCTGATATAGACGATCAGAGAAGATTGTTCTTTATTTTCAACCTCCCTGTAGTAAAAATAACTTCTTAAAATGTATTTTCATATTTTTATTTTAATATCTATTTTTGACCTACCGGTAATAGAAGTGAGAAATGGCTCTACAAAAAATATTACTAATAATCTATGCAAAATTGTTTAGATAGGAACACATCCTAAAAATCTCAAATAGGTTGTTTGAGGTACTCTTGAGGATAAGAATACAGACAGAAATAACAATAAAACTCCAATAATATTATTGTGTTATTATAAAATAATTTTAAGCATTTAGAAAGATGCACATTGGGGTTTTCTTGGTATTGCATTATGAATATTATTTTACTCAGATCAAATTCTACTTCCTAGTTGGTCATGGAGCAGGACAGAAAGGCTTGGTTGAGTTTCTAGGGTCTTAAAGGGGCCATCAGGGACTTGCCCAGCGCAGCTGCTAGGAAACTCCGCAGAGCAGCTGTCACGCATAAGCTTCATTTTATTTTTCTAACCTGTGTCTGTCTGTTGTTGTGTCTCGTTCACAGGGGCATATTGCCTGTCAGTGCTGGATTATGACAACACCAAAGGCTTGAATGTGAAACATTACAAGATCAGGAAGCTGGATAGCGGGGGATTCTACATCACCTCGCGCACCCAGTTCAGCAGCCTACAGCAGCTAGTCTTCCACTACCGCAGTGAGTCCCCAGACAGCTGCTCTCTGATAGTTAACCTTCCGCTGACCCGCCAGCTCACTCTCCCTTTTCTCACCTCTTTCAGAGCACTCTGATGGGCTGTGCCACGCTCTGTCAGACGTGTGTCCTGTGGCCAAACCTCAGACGCAGGGACTGGCCAGGGACGCCTGGGAGATTCCCAGAGAGTCCCTCCGCCTCGACCTCAAACTGGGACAGGGCTGCTTTGGAGAAGTTTGGATGGGTAAGATCTACAGTGTACACCACCACTTTTTAATGGAAGTGATTGCTTTCCTCTTTCACCATGACAGATAGGCCTACAGGTTAAACTGCGAAAATATGAGGATCAATTTGCTCTTTTTTTAAGTAAATATTTCAGATTATTGCTGATAAAAGTTATTAAAGTTTAAGTATTTCTTATTAAAGGAGAAGTGTGAGATTTTGGGATAAAGGCTTATTCTTTTTCTGGCAGAGAAATACATGCTTAACATCAGTCTAATGTCCTTTAAAACATACGGCTACATTTAGTAGCCTGTTAGCTTAGCACAAATACTATAATCGAACAGAATAGCTACCTCAGGTGCTGATTTTAACAAATGAGATATAACATATTAAGTTTAAGCTTAGAGATTCTGGTAGGTTTATATTTAAATCTTTAGATTGAGCCAGGTTAGTTGTCCCACTGTTTTCAGGCGTAATGCTAAGCTAGGCTAACCGGCTGCTGACTTTATGAATGGAAATATATGGCAGTAGCATTGATATCCTCATTTAACCCTCAGCAAGGACAGATTACATATCAGGATGAGATCTAACATTTTGTAATGAGCCTGTGTGGGTGCAAGCATGCGAGCATTTATGTCTGTATGCAGCTCATCTCGCACACCACTGGACCCCGGAGATTTGGATTTTTTTCTGCACGTATTATGCAGTATGCTCAATGACCTCTAAACACAAAATTCAAAAACAAACCTTTTTTGTTGTTTAAAAACAGACATCCATAGAGAGTTCGTCCCATTGGTCTAATTTTGAAGACGATAATTTGCATATTAATTCCACTGCAGATATAATATGATAAAGTTAGAAACAATACTCTTTTTTTTTCCTGTTTTCTGACAGGCACATGGAACGGCACAACACGGGTAGCCATAAAGACCCTAAAGCCTGCCACCATGTCTCCAGAGGCCTTTCTTCAGGAAGCTCAGGTCATGAAGAAGCTGAGGCACGAGAAGCTCGTTCAGCTGTATGCTGTGGTGTCTGAGGAGCCCATCTACATCGTGACAGAATATATGAGCCAAGGTAACACAGGATGCAGACTGTAACAAGTGCTAGGTGTCAAAACCTTACAATTCTTTGCTATGAAAATCATATTCTTCTGTAGACTACAGTATTGTTAAGCATTGAGGTAGGCTACCTTTTTTTTTAATAATGACAAAAGTTAATAGGCTATCAAAATAAATTGTACTAATGTCCTGGTGTTCTTTCTAAACTTTGCTTTCGAATACCATCATCTATTCCAAATGCTGATAGCTGTGCTTCAAGGTTTACACATATGATGGAAAATGGGTAATTTATTTGGTGGTTATCTGTCATTATCTACAACTGTACATTTTGTTTGTATCTTGCCCTTACAGGCAGCTTGCTGGACTTCCTTAAAGGGGATGCAGGAAAGATGCTCCGTCTGCCTCAGCTAGTGGACATGTCAGCTCAGGTAAAGCTACTTTCAGATCAGCCACACAACATATAACATCATATTTGTATTTATAATAAAAGCCCTGCCCTCTTTTTGTCACTTCCTCTAGATTGCAGCAGGCATGGCCTACGTTGAGAGGATGAACTACGTGCACAGAGACCTGCGCGCTGCCAACATCCTGGTGGGAGAAAGCCTGGTGTGTAAAGTGGCTGACTTCGGCCTGGCGAGACTCATAGAAGACAACGAGTACACTGCAAGACAGGGTGAGTCCACAGCTGATTACTCTTTTATTTCTATAAATCTGCAACTGAACATCAATGATGTTGACCCAAAAATGTTGTACTCATTTTTTACCTTTTGTATACATAAACCCCTGTTTCCTCAGGAGCTAAGTTTCCAATCAAGTGGACGGCACCGGAGGCAGCTCTGTACGGACGCTTCACCATCAAGTCTGACGTCTGGTCCTTTGGTGTACTCCTCACTGAGCTGGCAACTAAAGGCAGAGTCCCCTATCCAGGTACAGACTTGCATAATGTTTAGAGCTGAAAAGTTAATCGGCAACTGTTTCAATCGATTAATCAGTTTGACACATTTTTTTTTACAAAATGATCAGATTCCCACTTAGTAAATGTGAATATGTTTTGGTTTCCTTGCCCCTCAATGTCAGTAAACCGGATACATTTTAGTTTTGGACAAAATCTGACATTTTATAGACTCAAAAACGTTTGGATTAATCCACAATGCAAATCATCCTTAGTTGCAGCCATTATAATGTGTAAACACTGGAACAATGACTCTTAAACAAGACTTTCTCAAAACAATAATTATACTACATGATAAGAGCTGAAACAATAATTTGCCATTTTGAATGCATACATTATCCCTACTCAACTTCTCAAAAATGAAAATGTAGTGCTGTTCCTATGTTTTGTGTTACTCAATAAATCAAACTATATTTTATTATACCTTGTGTTCTAAGGTATCGTGATGAGAAAAAAAAAATCTAATGAGAAGATAATGAGAATGAGCATTAGTTGCAGCCCTTAAAGTTATTCATAGTTTCATATTTTAGGTATTTAAATGAAGAATATGAACCAAATCAGATATTGTTCATGTGGCTGTTTAACATAATTGTATTTGTCAGAACTCTTTCTTTTAACTAAAAGTAACTTGTGTTTCCTTGTTAGGTATGGTGAACCGCGAGGTGCTGGACCAGGTGGAGCGAGGGTACCGGATGCCCTGCCCGGCAGAGTGCCCCGGCTCTCTGCACGAGCTCATGCTCTCGTGCTGGAGGAAGGACCCGGAGGAGAGGCCGACGTTTGAGTACCTGCAGGGCTTTCTAGAGGACTACTTCACTTCCACAGAACCCCAGTATCAGCCTGGGGAGAACTTATAGAACCTCACACTGAACCCAACACAGAACGATCTGCACTAACCGACCTCAGAGGAGCACCTGTGGGAGGATCTGAGCCTGTGAAACTCACCTGGGAGGACCTTGAGGTTCTTCTGCAGAAGACCCACCATGTGCCATAAAGAAATCGCTACAGAAGAACCTGAAGAACCTCCTTTCTGCAAGCACTCCCTGTTTACTGAAGACTTTCCTGTAGAAGTGAGGGTCAAGGCTATAAAGGAGAACAGACTCTGATTTGATTATTGGTTTTGAAAGGAGGGACTGATGTGGGAGGAACCTAATCAGGATCTACAAACGGAGAGAGGGAGGGAAAAGAATGTCCATCCTGTCGAAGAGAGAAAGTCAAGGGAGGATATTTCCGACATAAGCTGTTTAGCGAAAGCTTTCCCTCGTCCGTTGTTTCTTTTACCCTCGCCTGGTACCTTTTCCGCCCACAGGAGTGCACTGCCACTGTGGCTCAGGTGCCTAAGGGAAGTCTGTCTCTCTTAACGTCCTCTATCTCCCTTCTGGCTCTCTTTCTCTATTTCCGTCTGACTTTCAGTATTTCCCTCCAGTGTTCTCAAGTGCTGCTTCTTCAAAGTGTCTCCAAATAACTCTCTGGAACTCTACTTAGGATCTTTATTCATGTTTACTTGGACAAAATTATGTAGTTTAAGCATTTTCAGCGGCAGACAAGAAAAAAACCTTGATTTCACTTCATTGTTTTCTGTGATAATAGGCAAGGTTGTTAGAAACCCTGTCATGGTAGTGCCAGGGTAAATGTATTCAACAGGCAGGTTCTGTAACAATGCAATTAGGTCAACTGAAGTCAAATTTGAGGCCTTTCTTTTTCTTTTCTAGCTGTATTTCTTGAAATGCTGAACAGATCGGTTCCAACCTCAACAATTCAAAAATGATTTTGATGCAGGTAGTGTTTGGATGCTTTGATTGACCCGGATTTAACTGGACAGTTGCATTGAAAATGATCAGCACAGTGACACTAAACAGCAGTTTGAGTAGTAGCTTGTTTCCTCAGAGGCGGGGTAACTGGGGTAACTTTCATCAAACATTTATGTGACCCACTAAGAGGCTGATGGCTATCCAAACCAATCATATTACTGTTTAATATTCAACCCAGCTCAAGATGGGAAAACCCTGAGTGTGAAAGCCTACCATGTTGTGTGCCAAATAAATCACATTTCTTTACTGATGTCCATGTATATAATGTTTTATTATCAAGGGGCTTACATGGGGGGTTTTAGTTTAACAGGAAATTGATTACTTACATTTTACAAAAAACTCTGCGCCATTTCTCTAGTTAACGTCATTTCAGTGACTAAACTGGAAGGAAAACCTGTTTAGGATTTTAAAAGGTTTGTAATCACTTCACAGCTGGTGTGTCCATGAAAAATATGCAACCAGCCGGCCCTAATGAAACTCTAAAACTTCAATCAGGTAACCCTAATAAAACTGTGTTTATGACTTCCTATAAGAGTTGATTTTAAAACCAGTTAGCATGCTTTTGTGACGTTCTTCTCTTGACCATTGGCTGGGTTTGTATTTATGCTGTACTGTACATCAACATGTGTATTTTTACTTTACTTGAGGCGAGGGGATCATAAACAGACATTTGTGCCATCAATCTATAATTATTGTTATTTTTTTATATCTTACCCACTGCTGCCAGTACTCACTGTCATACTGTACATACTGTAGCTCTTTAGGGTTGGTTTTGTATCATGTAAGCCACTTTCATATGGCAGGTATTTATGTTGGGTGTCACACAATTCACAGTGGATTAGTTTATGACGTAGTCAATGCAGCAACAGTAGAAATAAAGTGATAGATTGTTGTCAACAATTACTATCTAACTAGTTATCAAAATATGAGCCAGGCAGCAATAAGAGTAGGTCCATGCCCTCTAAAAATAGAAAATCATTATCCGGCGATTATGAATCCTGGCGGCTAATTTAATAAAAAATGTGGGCACTTGCAAACAACAAAAGGGAGCTTGAGTTGTGATATGACGTGAAAAATGAGGACAAAGATGTAAATAGTATCTTAAACAAATGACTGTGACTATCATGTAATTTTTTTTGTATTGTTTTTCTTTAATAGCCGACCATGTTGAGGTTTTTACAATGACGCACGCACGCCTGTTCCCAAAAAGTTTAAATAAGATGCTAATGGAGCTTAAGGAATGTGTTCTTCTTTTAATAGCCTATTGAACTTCTGCAAAAGACAATTTAAAATTGGGTTTGACATATATATATATATATATATTTCCGAGAACATCTTATCAGTGCTATTCTCTTTTAAGAATTGGAAATCCCCTGTTTTCTTCTGACGCACTGAACCGCCTGTAAGTCACACTGTGGAAGTGGATGGGCTCATGACAAACATGAGTAATGTGATTGGATTTTAATGTGACACATGAAGAAGTGTCTGTCTTTTATTTAACCTTTTTATGAATCTATGCAGTTTTGGTGTGGCATTCCTGCAACTTCATGGCCATTTCGTTCTGAAGTAAAAAACAATAATCATAAACAGAAGGTGTGAGCATTTTGTAAGGACTTATTTGTCTTTTTTTGTTTCTGATGTAACAGCATTGAAATGGGTATCGTGCCACTTTATGTTCTTTAAATGTGCAATAAATTATATTTCAAATGTGTTTTTATAATAGTGTGTGCTGGTGTGTGTGCTGTCCTTTTTCGCCTGAATACAAATATCATGCTGTTTGGATGTGACTCAGTGAATGAAGCGATCTGTGCGCTGTACCACAAGCCAATGTTTGGAGAAGTGAGCCTGTGATGTGAGGGTCATCAGTTCATGTTTCCAAATGTTTGTGACATTTAGGAAGACTTGAATGAGGTGGAAGTAAAAAAGGAAGCTGAAGTAGCAGAAGTGGCATTTGAATTACAAGTGCGTAAAATATGTTAGGTTGAAGTGTGAACATCGAATAAGATGGAAGTGTCACATTAAGAGTAAATTATGAGTGAGTTATCAAGTGAAACTTCAAAAAGGAGATGAAATGTAAGTCGAAACAAAGTGGAAGTCCTGAAAGAAATTATCGCCAGTTTAAATGCATATGTTTAAGGACAATTATCTTTTTTCACATGACCTGTTTTTGGTATGCAAAACAGCAGAGCAGTTTGTTAGTTTAAACAATTTTACCTCTACAATAATATTTTATTCAAAGCAACTGTAGCTACTATACATATTCAAAAAAGGTAAAGTATTCAAACATTAAACATAATGTATTAACCTATGGCAGCGGTTTTCAAAGTGTGAGGCGCGCCTCCCCTGGGGGGCGCCAGAGAGCTTCAGGGGAGGCGCAGCGTGAGACACAAAAGAACGAGAAAAAGACGAGTAAAGTGACACTTGCCCACTTGTGGCTGTCTGTGGAGACCGAGTTCCCCCACCTCGCCAAAAAGGCTGTAAAAGTGCTCATTCCCTTCACCTCCACCTACCTGTGTGAGTGCAGGTTTTCCGCATTGACTTTGATCAAAAGCAAGTACCGGTCAAGGCTGCAGCCAGAGGATGATCTGCGTTTATTCCTCTGTGCATCAAAGACGCAGACTCATTGCTCCCACTAAAGTAGGGGTGAGTGTAATAAGGAGGCAAAGTTGACGTTCAGTGTGTTACCGTGAGCATATAAGGATTTATCCACCATGTTGAAAATGTTAAAAAATATATGTCTTGAGAACACGGCGTGCGGAAATATACGGGTCGTGCTGCAGCTAGATGTGCCTGTCCTCTGTAAGAAGGTGTCGGCGACTGACATGCAAGGAAGAACGGCTGTCCACAGGCTGTTCCAACTTTAACAACTGTATTAACTTCCAGGGTAGTGAATTGAACATGCAATTGTAATTGGGTGTGTGGTATATTTTCATGCACGGACACGCATGTTCCACAACACACAAACTGAACAACACTCAATTTTCCGAACGCTACCAGCGTCCTTGCGATCTTGTTATAATAACAAGTGCACGTTACTGATACAATATGGTTGAGACCATTCGGGCTTATTCTAGAGGGGTGCAAGGAATAGTCCAAGTAGTGGGGGAGTTTTATACAATATGTTTAAAACATAAAAAAGTTAGACAGCGAAAACAGAGCATTTAATTACATTTTCTCTTACTGAACCTCTTTGAAATGCAATTGAATACCCCTGCATTATAGCAACAACAACAATAATAATAATAATAATAATAATAACAGCAATAATAATTGGGAGGGGGGGCGCGGCTGTTCTTATATTCTCTGAGGGGAGGCTCACCTACCTACACTTTGAAAACCCCTGGCCTATGGTATTAACACATTAAGCCACACATTTCTTTTGGTGACATTTTCCAACAGTCATTTAAAAAGTCATTTATATTAAATAAACACAAATAAAAAGTTATTTATTCTCCTTTTTATTTTATTTACTAATGCAGCCGTATCTATCTTGTACCACAGTACATTTTCACTTCTGTTCTGGTGTTTTTTTATTTTTACTTAAATAAGAACTTCTGAGAGGGTCTGGTTCAATCAATGAATCAAAGTGTATTTATATAGCCCAATATCACACATTTTACATTTGCCTCAGGGGAGTTTGTAAAGAATATAAATAGGAATATGTTCAGGTTACTTCTGGCTGTGACAGTCGACCCCGCTTCCCACAGAGCGGCTCAGGTGTGTCTGTCCACAGGGGGGCAGTGTTCAACTGGAGTATCCAGGGCACAGTGGCCGAGGAGCAGCCGGACACAGTGAGCTGCAGCCCAGCAGCAGATTGCGACCCACCTGCTGTGGTGCCCTCCACCAAACAACATCAACCTTTGGAAGTCATTTACAGACGGCGTGATGGACACCAGTGCCCCTTATGGCACCATACTGTAATTTACGTGGAGACCTCATTTGCAAAATCACTGTTCACCTTTTGTCTCATGTTTGCTTTATGTCAAAATTCCCTTAAAGTATCTACAGCTGTTAATTGATTACAGATGAGCTCTCCTCATGTTGAGCCAATCCGCAACTAACGAGCACTCTGTCCTGCAGCTTTTTGAAAAGTGCTTCATGACTTATGTACAGTAGGCTATATTGTGTGATTGTGTGTGTGTGTGTGTGTGTGTGTGTGTGTGTGTGTGTGTGTGTGTGTGTGTGTGTGTGTGTGTGTGTGTGTGTGTGTGTGTTGTTTTTCCCATCTGCTGAAGCTGAGTGCGAGTCATTTATCTCAGTTATCCAGACAGTGTCAGAGCTCCATCTGTGAAAACAGTAAACACACTGACTCACACTCTCTAAGTGACTGCCATTGATTACAGACAAGAGAGCACTGCGGATGCACACAGACATGTTTGCAATGGTGTTCTGTATTTGTGCTGCAAATGAGTTTAACTCGCTCATCCGGGTGTCTTGAGCTGGGTACTTCTGTCCAACCTTTTCCTGGATAGAGAGGACCATGGCATTTCTGATGGAGCAAAATAATGTAACCGGATTATGCACATTGGACAAAGCAGTGGAGACTTTGTCCAAAACATACTTATAACCCCAACAGCCATTTGACTGAGTTTCTGAGAGGGCATGCTGAGGAAAGTGTTTCTAGGAGGCGTCAAGATGCCTTGCAGGATTTTTGGTACCACCTGCATCACCACATCTTGTTGGTCAAGCAGTGTGGATCTTGGGGCAGACTGCAGTCTCTCTTTCTCCTGCCGTACTCCCGAGCCAAGTTCATCAGCCTTGGGTGATGAAAACAAGGAGGGATGTCATCTGGGGACATGAGCAGACTTCTGGTTTCAAACACAATGTCTGTCTCGCATTTTCATTCTGTTGTTCACCTCCCACAAAAGCTTGAGAAGAGGCTTTTTATCAACTTCATCAAAGTCCTTTAGTTCAAAGTCCTAGGGCTACACCCTCAGTGAACTTTTGCTTTCTTCTTGCAGTAAGTCTGTCATGTCATAGACAGTCACCTCAGATGGGATCATCTCTTTCTGATGAAGCTGGAAATGTTAAATCACCAGTGCGATATTAGTCTTGTAAGACTCGATATGCAGAGGCTGCTTATTTATATGACATGGATGTGTGAAACAACACCCTGATGGTTCTGTAGAGGCCTGTACTTCTTTAAATGAAATTCATGGACATTTTGTTGCAGGATATCTGAATGGTCCCGCTGACTGTTGAACCCTCCTGGATGAAAGCAGGGGTCACAGAGTGTGGAGTATACAGCCAAAGAAGAGTTGCATCTGCTTTATTCAATGGAAGAAAACAGTGCAGTGAGCTATGAGCTTAAAGGTAAAAGGACACATAAAATATAGAAGTGGATAGGGTTACACACACACACACACACACACACACACACACACACACACACACACACACACACACACACACACACACACACAAGGTGACAGGGCTACACTGTATGTTTTCATCTCATTACAGAGACAGGAGCATGGCAACCAGGAGAGAAGTTGGATAATAGCGGTGTTTTCTTTGCTCTTTTTTTCCTCCACTTGTGGTCCAGGTTGGCTCCTCTCCTTCAAAGGATCCTGGCTTTGTCAGCATACAGTTAGTGTACATGAAGACATTAGAGCCCTCTGTTGTAAGGTGATCCATTACATTAAGAACACATCAATCATCTGGCACAAAAGTCAAAACATTTTTGTATAGCATATTTTAAAATAACATTCATTGACCAAAGTGCTGAACAGGCTCAAAATTTAAATCACACAAACCAAGTAAAACAACTGCTGCACTACAGAAGAGGAAGTCAAGGTGGCAAACTCAACTCAATCAAAAGAAACGGCAACAAGAAGAGTTGTGTCTTCAGCTGAAACATAAAGGTTTTTGTAGTGCAAGTATACATTTTAGATGTACAGATAATCTGTTGCATGAGACCTGATGATTGTACTTTATTATTTCAATCTTTTAGATTTCAAAATATTATTTGATGTCTCCTTGACTGCTTAGTTACTTTTTACTTTTCAGATTATATTTTTTACATTTCAAACATATGATCAGCATATAAAACATGATGCATTGTATTTGAATAAACTGTTAAACAGTGTATAAAAGTGCCAAAAAAATAGATCCCCCGCAACCAACTACAAGATTAGCGTACTGGTTACATGTGAAAGCATCATTAATAAGAAATCAATAATTTAATCAAAAAAACACTGTGTTATTTGTTTGAATGATGGTACCTCATTATTTCTACAGTGTAGTATTTTACCCCACCACTGCTGCTTTTACAGCCCAG